ACGCATTGTACTAAATTAATTTCAACGATCCCACCGTTGAACATGTTTTTATATGCTTCAAGATCCCATACGCCAAAATGGAAAAAAAACACATGAGGAGATCCAGTAACAGAAAAAACAATTTCGACGGTTATAAGCGAAAAATCACGATTTAACGGTAGTTTTAACACCGATTTGGATGATTTTTTACAGATACACTCCTTGCCCCCATATGAATACAATGAACTAATTTGATCATCAATTTAAAGTATTGACAGAAGTGGATACCACAAAATCTTAAGTTATACTTAATGAAAATATAATTAAACTCTAAGTGTTAGTAAATCAATTGTTTTGTTGGTAACGCATTGTACGAAATTAATTTCAATGATCCAACCGTCAAACATGTTTTTATATGCTTCGAGATCCCATACGCCAAAAATGGCAAAAAACGAACATGCAAAGATCAAGTAACAGGAAAAACAATTTCGACGATTAAAAACGAAAAATCACTATTTAACGGTAGTTTTAACTCCGATTGGGATGATTTTATACAGATACACTCCTTGCCCCTATATGAATACATTGATCTAATTTGATCATCAATTTAAAGTATTGATAGAAGTGGATACCACAAAATCTTAAGTTATACTTAATGAAAATATAATTAAACTCTAAGTGTTAGTAAATCAATTGTTTTGATGGTAAACGCATTGTACGAAATTAATTTCAACGATCCAACCGTCAAACTTGTTTTTATATGCTTCAAGATCTCATACACCAAAAATGGCCAAAAACGAATGTGCAGAGATCAAGTAACAAGACAAACAATTTCGACGGTTAAAAAAGAAAAATCACGATTTAAAGGTAGTTTTAACTCCGATTTTGATGATTTTATACAGATACACTCCTTGCTCCTATATGAATACAATGAACTAATTCAATCATCAATTTAAAGTATTGACAGAAGTGGATACCACAAAATCTTAAGTTATACTTAATGAAAATAAAATTAAACTATATGTAAGTAAATCAATCATTTTGATGGTAAACGCATTGTACGAAATTAATTTCAACGATCCAACCGTCAAACATGTTTTTATATGCTTCAAGATCCCATACGCCAAAAATGGAAAAAAAACAAACAAGCAGAGATCCAGTAACAGAAAAAACAATTTCGACGGTTATAAGAGAAAAATCACGATTTAACGGTAGTTTTAACTCCGATTTGGATGATTTTTTACAGAAACATTCCTTGCCCCGATATGAATACAATGAACTAATTTGATCATCAATTTAAAGTATTGACAGAAGTGGATACCACAAAATCTTAAGTTATACTTAATGAAAATATAACTAAACTCTAAGCGTTAGTAAATCAATCGTTTTGATGGTAAACGCATTGTACGAAATTAATTTCAGCGATCTAACCGTCAAACATGTTTTTATATGCTTCAAGATCTCATTCACCAAAAATGGAAAAAAAAAGAACATGCAGAGATCCAATAACAGGAAAAACAATTTCAACGATTATAAACGAACACTCACGATTTAACGGTATTTTTAACTCCGATTTTAATGATTTTATACAGATACACTCCTTACCCCTATATGAATACAATGAACTAATTCGATCATCAATTTAAAGTATTGACAGAAGTGGATACCACAAAATCTTAAGTTATACTTAATGAAAATATAATTAAACTCTAAGTGTTAGTAAATCAATCGTTTTGATGGTAAACGCATTCTAAGAAATTAATTTCAACGATCCAACCATCAAACATGTTTTCATATGCTTCAAGTTCCCATACGCCAAAAATGGAAAAAAACAAACATGCAGAGATCTAGTAACAGAAAAAATAATTTCGACGGTTATAAACGAAAAATCACGATTTAACGGTAGTTTTAACTCCGATTTGGATGATTTTTTACAGATAAATTCCTTGCCCCTATATGAATACAATGAACTAATTCGATCATCAATTTAAATTATTGACAGAAATGGAAACCATAAAATCTTAAGTTATACTTAATCAAAATATAATTAAACTCCAAGTGTTAGTAAATCAATCGTTTTGATGGTAAACGCATTGTACGAAATTAATTTCAACAATCCAACTGTCAAGCATGTGTTTATATGGTTCAAGATCCCATACGCCAAAAATGGAAAAAAACAAACATGCAGAGATCCAGTAACAGAAAAAACAATTTTGACGGTTAAAAGTGAAAAATCACGATTTAACGGTAGTTTTAACTCTGATTTGGATGATTTTTTACAGATACACTCCTTGCACCTATATGAATACAATGAACAAATTCGATCGTCAATTTAAAGTATTGACAGAGGTGAATACCACAAAATTTGAAGTTATACTTCATGAAAATATAATTAAACTCGAAGTGTTTGTAAATCAATCGTTTTGATAGTAAACGCATTGTACGAAATTAATTTCAACGATCCAACCGTCAAACATATTTTTATATGCATCAAGATCTCATACGCCAAAAATGGCAAAAAACGAACATGCAGAGATCAAGTAACAGGAAAAACAATTTCGACGGTTATAAACGACAAATCAAGATTTAACCGTAGTTTTAACTCCGATTTGGATGATTTTTTACAAATACACTCCTTGCCCCTATATGAATACAATGAACTAATTCGATCGTCAATTTAAAGTATTGACAGAAGTGGATACCACAAAATCTTAAGTTATACTTAATGAAAATATAATTAAACTCTAAGTGTTAGTAAATCAATCGTTTTGATGGTAAACGCATTGTACGAAATTAATTTCAACGATCCAACCGTCAATCTTGTTTTTATATGTTTCAAGATCTCATACGCCAAAAATGGGAAAAAAACAAACATGCAGAGATCCAGTAACAGAAAAAATAATTTCGACGGTTATAAGCGAAAATCACGATTTAATGGTAGTTTTAACTCCGATTTGGATGATTTTTTATAGATAAATTCCTTGCCCCTATATGAATACAATGATCTAATTCGATCATCAATTTAATGTATTGACAGAACTGGATACCACAAAATCTTATGTTATACTTAATGAAAATATAATTAAACTCTAAGTGTTAGTAAATCAATCATTTTGATGGTAAACGCATTGTACGAAATTAATTTCAACGATCCAACCATCAAACATGTTATTATATGCTTCAAGATCTCATACACCAAAAATGGCAAAAAACGAACATGCAGAGATCAAGTAACAGGGAAAACAATTTCGACGGTTATAAACGAAAAATCACGATATAACGGTAGTTTTAACTCCGATTTGGATGATTTTTTACAGATAAATTCCTTGCCCCTATATGAATATAATGAACAAATTCGATCGTCAATTTAAAGTAGTGACAGAAGTGGATACCACAAAATCTTAAGTTATACTTAATGAAAATATAATTAAACTCTTAGTGTTAGTAGATCAATCGTTTTGTGGTAAACGCATTGTACGAAATTAATTTCAACGATCCAACCGTCAAACATGTTTTTATATGCTTCAAGATCTCATACGCCAAAAATGGCAAAAAACGAACATGCAGAGATCAAGTAACAGGGAAAACAATTTCAACGGTTATAAACGAAAACTCACGATTTAACAGTAGTTTTAACTCCGATTTTGATGATTTTATACAGATACACTCCTTGCCCCTATATGAATACAAAGAACTAATTTGATCGTCAATTTAGAGTATTGACATAAGTGGATAGCACAAAATCTTAAGTTATACTTAATGAAAATATAATTAAACTCTAAGTGTTTATAAATCAATCGTTTTGATGGTAAACGCATTGTACGAAATTAATTTCAACGATCTAACCGTCAAACATGTTTTTATATGCTTTAAGATCCTATACACAAAAAATGAAAAAAAAAAAAACATGAGGAGATCCAGTAGCAGAAAAAACAATTTCGACGGTTATAAGCGAAAAATCCCGATTTAACGGTAGTTTTAACTCCGATTTGTATAATTTTTGGCAGATACACTCCTTGCCCCTATATGAATACAATGAACTAATTCGATCGTCAATTTAAAGTATTGACAGAAGTGGATACCACAAAATCTTAAGTTATACTTAATGAAAATATAGTTAAACTCTAAGTGTTAGTAAATCAATCGTTTTGTTGGTAAACGCATTGTACGAAATTAATTTCAACGATCCAACCGTCAAACATATTTTTATATGCTTCAAGATCTCATACGCCAAAAATGGCAAAAAACGAACATGCAAAGATCAAGTAACAGGAAAAACAACTTCGACGGTTATAAACGATAAATCACGATTTAACGGTAGTTTTAACTTCGATTTGGATGATTTTTTACAGATAAATTCCTTGCCCCTATATTAATACAATGAACTAATTCGATCGTCAATTTAAAGTATTGACAGAAGTGGATACCACAAAATCTTAAGTTATACTTAATGAAAATATAATTAAACTCTAAGTGTTAGTAAATTAATCGTTTTGATGGGAAACGCATTGTACGAAATTAATTTCAACGATCCAACCGTCAAACTTGTTTTTATATGCTTTGAGATCACATACGCCAAAAATCTCAAAAAATAAACATGCAGAGATCAAGTAACGGGACAAAATATTTTGACTGTTGCAAACAAAAAATCACGATTTAACAATAGTTTGAGCTCCGGTTTTGATGATTGTTTTTTTGACAAAAATATTTTTGATTTAAATTTTAAGAAATATTGTAATGAAATTCTAAAGAATTAATAATAAACCCCAAAAGTATTCATCAATATATACTATATTGATTGATACCCACCAAAAGTATTCATCAATCTTGAAGGACCAACCAAAAGTATTCATCAAAAGTATTCATCAATCTGGCAACGATGAGAGTGGTTCATTAAAATAAACAGGAAGACAAACTTCAGACAAGTCCTTCCCAATATTATCCTTCATAATCGACCACAAGCCGATATGCTTCTCTTTCTCCTTGGGTTGTGGCAAATCATCCTTCCTTTTCACATATGGTTATTTAATTGTCTTGATCTCCTCAACTCCATGCAATCTACCAGAAAAGAAAGAATCTCTTTCAAATATACAACAGGAAGCACTTCTTAGAGCATCTGAAGATAAAATAATTCATATCAAATTATGTTTCTTTACTTAATCAAAAAGAAAGATTCTCTATTGTATACCTTTTCCCAAGCTTTCTCATATGTGAAAACAATGAGTTTAACAAAATACTAAGATAATGGAAAGATAACTAACCACTAAATCTCCCATTCCCCTGTCCGTATGACTCACGCTCCTTTGTTTCATCCATTACTGTAGTTTCCAGCTCTATTTTTTCTGTCTGCAAAAGGAAATTTAGATAGGGATTTACTTTCCGACTAGCAAGATTTCCACCACCCCTTATTGCAGCACATGTGTAAAGAAGCAACTTAGTGATTAAATGCATTGAAATACCTCTAATTGCCTCAATGACTCCAACAACATCACATGTTTACGCTGAAGACCCTTCATCTGATTTTGAAGCTCTAACACTTCTAAGAGCATAATTGACTCGCAGTCTTTGATCACCGGCTCACCAATTCCCTCTTGTGCTAATCTTAGTCTTAGCTTCTCTGTCGAAACAACTATATCTTCCGAAGGTACCAAATCATTGCTCATAAACACTCTAGGGAAAAAGATCTTTAGCACCGAGCAGTGCCTCAATCCATGTAGCTCGGTCCTCTCTGGTCACACATCTCAAGTGAAGAGTTTTAGTTCCTGTGAATATGGAAAGCCGTTTATCATCTGATTTGTTGGCACGAATTGAAGAAACCTGTAAACCAGATTTTGAATCGCTAAACTTCTTCATATATACTATTGATGAGGTGCTAATAAACATATTTTGAATCGCTCCCAGAGAAAGGCTAGAGAAAGATGCCTAAATGCAATCAACAAGACTTCAAGGGATCAATCATGGCAACGAGACAACAACAAGAAAGCATCAAAATTTACACGATTAAAAACCATTGGACCAAAAGTTAAAAAAAATAAGAAAGGGAAAATTTGAAACAAAAGTAACACCACCAATATATAAATAATCAAATTAGTGCAGAAAAGTTAAACCAAACAGATCGTAATCGAAGACGAACATAAAGGCCAAGAATACCTACGTTTTCAATGCTTAAGGTTGACTAGTAGAGACAATCTTGTTTGAGAAAACAGGTGAACTAGGCAGCCTAAAACACGATAGATCAAAGTAACTAATGTTTTATGCAAGTTGTGTCACTTTTTTGCTGTTCTTGTACATTTAATTGAGTTCTAGAATCCAGCTTTACATATAATCAACTAAAACCCAAAGCAAAAAAGAAGAGGCCATAATCCCTGTTGATCATTGAGCTGAAATTGCTAGACGATTAATCAGCTTGAGAATCCCAAAACACAACAACCCAAGAGGAAAAACCATTCAAAGAAGGAAACCCCACAAACAAAACAAGGAACAGATAGAGGGAAGTTGAGTGCATACCAACAAGATGTGAGAGGTGGGTCTTGGTGGGTTTTCTTTTCTCTGTGAGCTTTGGAAGCAGAGCGTTAATGGAGAAACAGAAATGTTATATGTGAGAAGGAGCCAATATTATCCTTCATAATCGACCACAAGCCAATATCTTCAAGATTAGTCCCACATTTGAGCTGCTTAAAATAGAAATGTTATATTGCCAGAATTTTAGGAAGTGTAAGTGTGGGAGTCTAAATACTGTGAAGCTACTATATTTACCTTTTCAATGGCCACTTCAATACGTTTCAGCAGGTCCCTTGCACTGGTTTTCTGTGAACCACGCAAAATGCAGATACCAAAATTTAAAATCTTCTCAACATCATCTCGAGAATCAAGAGATTCGCAAGCAAGTAAAAGCCTTGTGACATATGAAACCAAATCTGTTTTTTCATCACAGCGCGTACAATAGTATTCAGAATCCAAGCCAATGCTTCCTCCTACAGTGCCAGCCATGTAACATCACAGGGCACAATCAATGTGGGCAGCATGCCCACATATGCTACCATCATGCATCAATGTTTCGCATCGAATGTAATCATAACCTGCACATGACGAGTTTACAGACTTGCAACAAAGAATGCAACATCAATCACGGCAGAACTTAGTCTATGTGGACATCTAGACCTGATCCAAATGAAGTGAATCCAAAATGAACATGTCAATTCATAATAAAAGAAAATGATTACATGCTAAAACAAAATGCAGCTTCAAAACCGAATGAGCATAAATACTAGCATATCTGCATAAATATAACCTGATCCAAATGAAGTGAACAAACATAAGTAAATACATAGAACTCTGAATAATTTAGTCTATGTGGACCTCTACACTTGATCCAAATGAAGTGAATCCAAAATGAACAGGTTAATTCATAATAAAAGCAAATGATTAAATGCTAAAACAAAATGCAGCTTCAAAACCGAATGCGCATAAATACTATCATATCTGCATAAATATAACCTATAATGAGTATAAATAACTTGTACTTCGTTGTTCAGATTGGTAAAAAATGGAGAATACCTTCAAACGATCACGATTAGATTCTTCCCATGCCTTTTTTAGTTTGACTTTGCCTCTCCTTAGCCCCCTGGTTTTTTCCTTTACAAGTTTATATTAATCCTCATCCGAACTACAGTAATAACTCTCGCTATCCTCACTACTATCATTTTCGGAATTACTTCAAATGGTTATGGGACAACATTAGTATCCCGTAGTGTTTCTTCACCAATTTCTATCAAAGATGAAAAATGTTGGTCAGCGACATTGTTGTCGTTGTCATCATGATCTAGTTCCGGAATATCATATAGCCCTCTTCAATCAATCTTCTGAACAACTTTCCAACCATTGCCGGCTTTAGGGTCGTCTAGATAGAATATTTGTTTCGCCATAGTTGCCAAAATGTATGGGTCTTCATCGTACCAACATTTGGTAGTGTTTACTGATAGTAAACCATGGTCTCGCTTAACACTCGTGCGGTTATGTGGGTTTGTATCAAACCAAAAACACTTAAACAGTATCACTTGACATCTGTCTTTGTAAAGCAATTGTATTACACTAGTTAGTTTGCCATAAAAATCAATGTCTTCACTATCGCCAGCACCCAGGACGTGGACACCACTATTTTGAGTACACAACTTGTCATCACGTGTTGCCCCCAAGAACTTGATCCCGTTGACATGACAACTTGAGAACAATTCAACGTGAAGCGGTCCTCTCGCCAAGTTATATAATTCTTCATCGTAAGATGGTGAATTCAATTCCTTCAATTCCTTCAATTCCTTCATCTAATATAACATATACAAAAAGTTAACATGTTAGTGAAACCAAATTTAAAGATGGCCATGAACAATTTGGAAAAAATGCTCAATTCAAAACACATACAACTTACATGTTTGTGAAACCACGAAGGAAACAATTCACGGTGCTTCTTGGCATATAAATGTGAAGGATGTTCCCGCTTCATCAACTGTTCATGTTGTTCAAGGTATGGCAAAGCCTCGTCACAATTGTTGAGTATGAACCAATGCGCTACCTCCATGTCCTTTTTAGTAAACGATTCACCTTTTACAGGATCGCCGAATAGTCATGCAATTTGGGCAAAAACATACAGTTTCTCTTTTCTGACACCACTATCATTATTGCGTTGAGGGCGATTGAAAGCTATCTCAACATCTTGAAGATACATTCCACAAAAAGTAAGTGACTCATATGCGACCCATGCTTCCACAAGTGATCCTTCGGCCTTTGTCTTATTTCAGACGGACTTTTTCAACTCACCAAGATATCTGGACAAATAAAAGGTATGATACAAATTATTCAAAGCGTTCGTTGATCATGAATCTGTTATATATATATATATATATAACAGATTCATATATATATATATGCTTAATTAAGTACCTTTCTATTGGATACATCCATCGACAATTGACTGGTTCGGCAAGCAATGCCTCATTTGGCAAGTGAATCATCACGTGAATCATACTTGTAAAGAAAGCTGGAGGAAATATTTGTTCGAACTTACATAAGACGTTCACAATGTCGTCCTGCAATTGTTTAACATCCGACTTCCGTAAACACCTTGCAGTTAACTGTGAAAAAAATCTCGACAACAACACTATTGGTTTCACCACATCAATAGGCAATAAATGTCGAATACCAACCGGTAGAAGGCGTTGGAGTATCACATGACAGTCATGACTCTTTATGTTTGAAAATTTACACCCACTTACGTTCACACAACACGAGATATTGGAAGCATACCCATCTCGAAACTTTACAGAAGAAATAAAGTTGAAAAACTCTTTCTTCCCATTCGGCTTAACTGTAAAAAAAGGATAGCCTTTCTTCAATGTACCACCAACTTTTTTCATCCACAAGGATGATCTAATGCCCATTCGTTCCAAATCGAGGCGAGCTTCGATTGTGCCCTTCGTTTTTCCTTCAATGTCTAGAATTGTCCCGACCAAAGTATCAAACACATTTTTCTCAATATGCATAACATCAAGATTGTGTCTCAATTTTAACTTTGACCAGTATGGGAGCTCAAATAACATACTCTTGTGCGTCCAATTCAGATGTGTAGTTGGTCTAGGCTTACTGACCCCTTTGCCAAAATGACCAAATTCTAAATGGTTTAACTGATCCAAAATCTCATCTCCGGACCATTCTCTTGGTCTTGGTTGAGTCTCTTTTGTGCCGTGGAAAACTTTATCGTTGTGACGCCACTCGTTGTCCCAAGGGAGCCATCTATGATGACCAAGATAACAAACTTTTCTCACATGCCAAGATGATGTTACGTTCTGATGCGTAAATTAACTTAACACACAAATTAAACCCTCTTGTTGACAATTGTAGTATGGATAAGTAGGGATCGTTCTGGACCGGGGATTATGAGGGATTGCTAATCTACTCTAAACTGACTTAAATCTGTAAAACAAAGTTTAAAATACTAAGCTAGACTCAAAGAATGCAAAACTAAACTCTAAAACATTAAAACAAACCAAAAGACTCAAAATAGCAAACAAACACTCAAAACTGCCTAAAAACCACTTTCTGGGCAGTTTTGGGACTCTAACACAACTTGGACGAATTTTGGTTTTCTAATGACCTAAAACACCTAAAAACATATTCTAAGACAAGTTCTAGTTAATATGACTCAAAGAAATAAGATGGTGTTGATTTTGGACGAAAATAAATAAAACAAAACAAGAACAAAGTAAACAGATTTTTAGACAAAGTTAAGTAAATTGATGGGTGATAGATCAACTAGAGGGTTCTTCTCCACACATGACACACTTGCATACAAACCAATTTTCAGTTGTTCGTTCAATAAATCATGAAACTCAGCACCCCAGGTTAATTAGGTCCGCTTAAATTAACCTTCAAGTTCTCCTTAAGTTATTGAATTGGATGGGAAAGCGCATACAACAATTCAAAGCATTCTCTAAAAGTCCCCTACGTGAAAAGCACAATAAAGGTACAATCAAAGATCATTAAGTTTCATGAAAACTATAAGCATTGATGAGGCAATTGTTACTATGAAAAGCATGAAACTTTTGCCAAGAATTCACTTAACACGATCGTTTATAAGCGACCTCCACTACTTGCAAATATAAGTTTGTAACTATTAGGTGAAACTCCCTTATATTTTAGCTTCAAATCCTTGCATGAAAACTAAGTGTGCACTCTTAA